ACACACACAGACACACACACACACAGAGAGAGAGAGAGAGAGAGAGAAGACACTGGAGTAGAATTGTCCATTTGTTGCTATATTCTGTTTTTTAGTCTCAATCATCTTTATATTGATCAGTGCTTGGGTATATTTAAACAATGTATATACTAGAATGTAATAGCACCTACCTGTTCTTAGCTGAACTTAAAAGTGTAATCAACAAGAAATCCAGCTCACCTACTAAGGGAGTCCTTAACTTACTATACCAAGTCTTAGTTGTTCACATGAAAATAAAATAAATAAAATAGTTATGACTCTCTTCATTTATATATATAAACCCCAGTAAAAAAAATTAAATACAATATATATTGCAGGAAATACAATCCTGGAGTATGTATCAATGACGTGGTTATTCTGCAAAATAATTCTGCCCACAGTTCCTTTCAAAAATCTTTTTCTTTTTAAGGGACCTTCATCCAGATGGGTGATGCTGCGTGCTCGCTCGCGTGCTGCTCCCTCTTCTAAAAGAACACTCAAGGTGGCAAGATCAATGTCAGTATCATGATAGCACCCATCAAAGGCCATGGCTTGCATTGCATCAATGTTATACAAACCAGCAACCTAGAAGGAAGAACAATTGAATCAATGGATTTGTATCACTGGGGATCTCACGTTGTTGCAGCTGTAGTCTTCCGCAGTCTGTGTCAGGATGAATAGAAAACAGATACAGCAAGCATTAAGGCATACAAAGAACTTCTTTGTTTTATTGTAGAAAAGCCAACGAAGCCAATATGAAAGAATATTAAAAGAATTTCAGTGAATTCCATGCCTCCAATAGAAGCATTGATTATAATGAAGTCAAATTTTATATTCTTTGGGTCTTTTTTGCCACCTTCATGGTATGACTGCTTGAAACTTCTTCCTATTTCTTGGTTATGGACTAATCTGGTTTCAAACTGTTGCATTCTAACAAGCCTAGAAATTGTCCTGAACTATTCTTCGTATCATCCACAGCCAAATATTAAGAAAATGTTTCCTTGATAGTTTTAATCTTCTCATTTTTGAAATTAATACAGAGGTGTTTTCATCAGTGATATTCCTTGTCTACCTAAGAGAATCAAGAGGATTTATTTTCCAATATTTTCATTTATATCAACTACTGCTTCAGCTAAAGTACTCATTTTTATCTCAGCCACCAGAAAACAAATGTCCTTATGCCAACACCAATGGCCTCTGTTCTGATTTGCAACTGAAAGACATATCCTCATTTCCCATCAAGGAAACACTGTATTCCACATACCTTCTTAGTGTTACCAGCACATGGAAAAATTATCTGCCATTGCTTCTACTCTGATTTTCAGTAGTTTTGACAGATAACTAGACACCCCTATTTTGTTGCCTGTTAAAACTTCCTCTCCCTTCTCCAACTTTTCCAGCTGTGGGGTCAACTGCCTGGAGTGGAAGGGCATCCATAAAAGGAGAAGAAGAGGCTGTTTTCATGTCTATGAAATTTGGTTCAAATCAAAGTATTAGTAGTCCAAAAAAGCCCTATTGCTAACAGGTGGGGAAGCATTCAGGTATGACGGACAGTGGAGTCCTGGTGGATAAAGGGGCAAGGCCCAGTTTGGAAGAACCACACACTCTTTCTGCTCAAAGGAGAACGGCCTTTGAAGACCTAGGAGGACAGGAGGTATGCCAGCAGCAGCCTAAACTAGCAAATCTGTGTCAGGTAGTTACCACCACCAGAGATCAACTGACAGCAGCACTTTGTCAATGGTCTGTAATGTGTGCGTAGGGTAAAATTGGCACAGCTGGTTGGAAACTTAAGTGGGGAAATGCTATTTTAATTGGAAATATTGAGCACCAGGAGTGGATATATGATTGGTTTGTCCTGTTCATATACAGAATAACTGATGAGTCCCAAACAGTTCTGGAGGAAACAGTCATGTAATGCCTCCAGATGCTCAAAATAAATCAAATAATAAAGCACTCCTAGGCAGAACATTCCAACATGCTCTGATATTTCCATTGTAGCATAGGTGACAGATTGCAAAGAAAAGCAATGTTTGTTTGCAGCCCTTCCATATGCTTTGGTACAAATAAATTCAAACAAGAAAAGGAATATTAAACTTATGAACTGTCGTCCAGTGTCTAATTTAAGGAAGAGCAAATTAGGAGCTCAGTCATTCTCAGACCCTGTCCCCTGCTTCTTCCCAAGTCTCCTTTCCTAAATCTGGAACCCTTAATGTCAAATATCTTGTGATGTTGATTCTGGAGGGCCCCCATGCATTTCTGCTCCAAAAACGGAACTTTCCAATATCCAATGACAACACCATTGGATCTAGTTTCCATGAGGAGTTTTATTTTAGTATATAGCAATATATAGTAATATAGCAGTAACTATATAGAATTCTACTTTATAGTGCAATATTAATGCAATATCAGGGGTTTTCAATTCAATTGTATAGAATGCAAAGGATGTGTGTGTTTTATTTGTATAGTTATAATGTACACTGAAGATGGCATTTAATTTCGTTGTACGAAGTGGAGTGACAATAAACTAAACCAAACTATTTTAAGATGAAATTAATTTGTCCATGTTTAGAATGAACATTATCAAAAGAAACTGAGAGAGATAATATTGGTACTACATAATATGGTATCATTGTTTAACTTATTTTTGAATATTTTTACGTGAGAAAAATATTTGCAAATATATACCTTTCCTCTGTTTTTCAGATGTTTTCGTTCTTCCACTGTTGTGAGATAATTTACAGCTGCATATTCAATAACAGATAGGAAGACGAAAAGGAAGCTGATCCATAAATATACATCCACAGCTTTTATATAAGACACCTGGGGCATTGAGGCACTAACTCCGGTAATTATGGTTGACATCGTCAGCACAGTAGTTATACCTGCCAAAAGAAAGGAAAAGATAGGAGGACAGATAATCCCTGACTTACAACAGTTCATTTAGTGACTGTTCAAAGTTCCAACGGCACTGAAAAAAGTGACTTATGACCATTTTTCACACTTATGACCCTTGCAGCATCCCCATGGCCATGTGATTTACATTCTGATGCTGGACAACTGATTCACATTTATGATGGTTGCAGTGTCCCAGCATCATGTGGTCACTTTTTGTGACCTTCTGACAAGCAAAATCAATGGGGAAACCAGATTCATTTAACAACTGTATTAATAATTTACAAATGCAATGATTCACTTAACAAATGGGGCAACAAAAGTTGTAAAATGGGGCAAAACACATTTAACACATTTTTCACTTAGCAACATAAATTATGGGCTCAATTGTGATCATAAGCTGAGCTGTATTATCAGTTTGTTCTTGCATTGTATGAAAATATGCCCAAAATGCTATGTGTATAAATGGCTGTGAATGTCTTCTCTTGTTTCTTTCCATGGCTAGAAAATGTAGTATTTGTTATAACAAATAATTACACAGAACACCTCATATAAAGTTGATCCCAGATTTCAGTCAGCACATACATACCAATAGGTTAATAGAACCACTAATTAATTTATGGTCTTGATTGAAAATATTGAAGCTGACCCTGATTATATTCCACTTTTCCTTTGAAAATGATTGAGAAAATGATTGAGCATGTAGAATCAGAAAATCTTTTAACTCAAGCTTGGGGAAAAACTGCAGTATAAAGAATATGTTTGATTACAATTATCCTGGATTCACTGTTTGGAACAGATTGTGCCTCCTGTATGGTGAGAATTTTATAAATATTCAATATAAAACCCAATATTTATTTAAGATCATTTATTTTCACTTTAACGGTAATAAATGTGGCGACCATGGTAAGTGAGAATAGCAATTGTTCACTTTTAAAACATTATCCAACTGCTTTTTAAACAAATTCCTATATTATTATTACAATCATCATTATTAAAAACTGATAGCTCTTAATACCGTGTTTCTCATATAATAAGGCCGGGTCTTATTTTTTTTTTGAGCCCCGAAAAAAACAGCTAGGATGTCTTTTCGGGGGTGAATTAATTTCTTTCTACCACCCCCGCACACCCTCGCCTAGGGCGCCCTGCAGGCAGCTACGCCTCGCCACCAGCCATTCCAAGCGCCCAGGCCGAGCTGCAGCTGTCCCTCTCTTGCCAGCGCTGTCTCCAATAACAGCGGCAGCAACGGCAGGAACTGTGGAAGTTACAGAGGCAGCTCCCCCACCCGAGAAGCGGCTGAAATGTTTCCACAGTTCCTGCCGCTGCTGCTGCTGTTGTTGGAGATGGCGCTGGCGAGAGAGGGACAGCTGCAGCTCAGCCTGGGCACGCTTGGAATGCAGGAACGGGCTGCGCACCGGGACTTTTGGAAACTTGCAGAGCCTGAGGCTGGAGCACCAAGGGTAGCAGCAGCAGAGACGCTCGCTCGGCTCTTCTCACGCCCACCCAGCCGCTCGGGATTAAATCAAAACGCAGCGCGCAGCGCTCCCAGGTACCTCAAAATCTTTTTTTTTTCCTGTTGTTACGGGGATGGGGGAAAAGCGGGAGTGACTCAGACGCTGTTGTTGGAGACAGCACTGGCAAGAGAGGCACCAGCACCGGTGGGAACCGTGGAAGCTACGGAGGCCTGAGAAGTGGCTGAAACACTGCCGGTGGACATCCACACCGACGCCGTCTGCCTGCTGACCCGGGTCTGCAGCAAAGACGCTTGGTGTGGGTAGGGAGCCCTCCGCACTCCGCCATTTTTGGCTGTTAGGAGCAGCTGATGGTGAGGCGTAGCTGCCTGTGGGGCGCTCCTAATGGCAAGTTCCCCCCCCCCCGCCTTCCCCCCCCAATTGCACATGTTTTAAAATAGGCCTACATTTGGGGGGAGGGGCTTAATTTCATTTTATGCCTAGAAGACATGTTGGGTCCTCCTATTGAGGGGGGTGTATTGTTGGAGAAACACGGTAGTATATTTTTAAAAAGAAGCAAAATTTCACATGGTGAATACTGTTATGTTAATTAGAATGACTAATGGAAAATTAATGTTTACTTTTAAATCTTTCCTGCAGTTCTGATTCTGGAAGCAGATATGTCAAAACCATGATGGAAAGCTAGGATATCACAATCCATTAAACATGTTTTAAGCATCATAGCTGGGAAAGAAAGCAGGTGAGCTATATATTTTCACTTATTCTACAATTAATAATTGAAGAAGAAAGCATCAAAGATTAATTATTTATTTGGTTTCAAAATGTGTCCTTGTATCTTAAATGGGATTTAAAACACTATAAAGAAATATGTAGAGAATGTCATTTGAATCTTTTTTTAAAAACTCCTTTAGCAAAAGTGACCATAGGAGGCATCTGTAGTTTCTTTTGTGTGAATTTACAGCACAGTGCAGTACATCTGCACAGCAATTCTCTCCAGGGTCATACTGGATACTGCCTTTGCCTTACATGTATGAGTTTATAGATACTGCCTTTGCCTTACATGTGTGAGTCTATTCAGGATGGATTTATATGTGTTGCCTCAGTGTGGGCACATAGGTGTATGTGTGGGGTGTGAGAGAATCCATTTGGGTTGTTCTCATGCAAAGCAAAGTGATTATTCCCCCTAGAACAGACCATTTCCAAGAAAATTTGAGCTAATAATTTCCTCTTGTTATATTGAACCTTAGAGCACCTTTACGATCAATGGACAACTTGTGGAAGGAGATGATCCATTCTTTTTCCTAATAATAGAAAGGAAAACTATATAAAACCATATAGATCAGAATGATATTAACCGCTTTCCTATAATCAAACAGTTCCTGTGAGACACTTCATAAATACAATCTAACTATTAACTACCAGACTCTACTACACAACCTTAAATAGTTTATAATGAAATTTTACCTAGTGATACTCTTGCAGGAACAGCTCTTCGGTCTATCCAAAAGGAAACCCAAGATAGCATCACCATCAACATAGAGGGGAAATAGGATTGTAAAACAAAAAAGAAAATGTGTCTCCGTAGAGCAAAGTTTATAAAAAGTCGATTGTACCAACCTGAAGAAAAACATAGACAAGTCTTAATACCCAGCCCATGCAATGTTATGTTATCCTTTGACTTCATAGTGTCTTTCTAAAAGAACGACATTTCTCTTTTATGAAAAACTTGGTAAATATTTACTTAAATGTCTTTCAGGTGAAATTCATCCTTTGGAAAATTGCTTAGAGGGCACTGGACACATTGCATAGAACAAGCAAAGTAGATTTATAAGGTTTAAAATGCAAACAGGGCTACCTACTTCTTCCAAGAAAGGATGTAAGGAAAATTCAGCTCATTCATTTAATAAAAAAACACATTAAGTCTTTTATTATCTTTATAAAATGTATGGAGTTCATGTAAAGTTAGTAAAATGATATATAAATCAAAGATTAAATAAACTGTATATCCAATGTGTAGAAAAATAGTATATTTTTGAATTGATTTTCTTTGTAATCCTACTGATGTTATTTTTTGCTAAGGTCAAAATAAATACAAAAAGGGCATCTATTTCTCACTCTTAAGAGTACTATACCTGTACTGCTGTAGAATGCTAATCCACTAGAAGCACTAAATTCTTCAATGAAAAACTGAGAAAGGGAAATGTACTCATCTAAGCTTAAAGATTCATTGCCATGTTTCCAGTACAGCATCAAGTCTTCTTCATTGTAAGCATCTGTGGAAATATTTTAAAAATTGCTTGTGATTGTTATTATGCACGTATGTACGTATCTTCAACTTGTTGTTTTCCTGCTTTGAGTGTAACCAGTGACATACCTAGCATTTTGACACCTCAAGTGCATTTTTTTAAAACAGGCCCCTCCTCTGTTGATGAGAATTAGCTTGGTGTGGCAACAGGCAGAAAACAGGAGAGAGTCAGTCTAATCCTGCCTTAGACTCAAAGCTAACAAGATGACCTTGGATCTCTCACTTTCTCTCAGCCCTGGGAAGGAAGCAATAGCAAGCCATTTCTCAAAAATGCTGCTAATAAAACTGCAGGGGTCATTATCAAAAGTCAAAGCTGACTTAAAGGTACACTTCCTTTTCCTGTGCCAGCATTGTATTAGTTCACTGGCAGCAGGACCCAACTCTATACCAACCTCTCTATCCTCTTCCTTGCCTTTGGCAGCATCTAAGTGGAGATAACCTAAGGTCTGCACTCTAGTCAAACTGCCATCACTACCACATCACTCCAAGTACACTAGTGACTACAGCTTTCATCTTTGTAACCCATAGATGGAAATGTGTAAGTAATTATAATTTAATTAGAAATCTATTTCATATCACTATAGCAGGGAAGATTGATAACGTGATCTTTTTTTGCCCACCCGATCTCTTATTTAGCTCTTGGTAAGCACTTTCCAAGTCCTGCCTTGCTCATTTCCTATCATGATACCAGATTTGAGGATGGTAGTTTGGCAGCCTTTCAAATAAACAAAGGAATGATGATATGGAATCATGTCATATTATCACCTCGTATCATTCCTCTACCAAACCACCATTTTTTGACCTGCCTCACTTTGTCTCATCAAAATTGAACAGAATTAGGTGTGGTACTGGAAGAAGTGCCTCAGCCCTATATCAGTGGGGATGGAAATATTCCTCTTGTGATTATAATGGTTTTATGATAACTATCAAACGTATTGTGTAAGATTGCCTAAATCATGCATTCTCTGGTTTCCTAGAAGATCTGCATTTAGTAACACTAAAGGCAATCACCTGGATAGCTGAATTGGACATCCAGTTATGAGGTCCCTGCCATATCCCCACAGAAGTTTTACTTATAATTACATAGACTGTGTATATACTGTGTGTTTCCTTCTCTTTTATCATGTGCTCATCATATGCTAAATAATAGTCTCATCTTACGTAGAACTTGTTTCAACTGTCATATTCAAATTACAACGTGGTAGCCATATTTCAGGGTTTCCGGGGTGTGGTTAAGATTTTGGGCAAATTTGATACATGGCTGGGATTATCTCTGGTTTTTTTTCATTCATTATCATTTAGAACACAGTTGATGCAAAGAGAAATAAGGCAGATGAAAAGTTAGAAATTTCAATATATTTATTGGCACAGGATAGAAACTAGTTACTCTATCTTATCTATGGAGATTCTCAGTCATCCAGGTCATAGTTGTCCCAAAGGTGTTTTTTCAAGAGGCAATTGAATTTTCTTGACTTTTTTTTTTTAAGACGTTTCTCTTCTCATCTGAAAAGCTTCTTCAGCTCTGACTGGATGGTGGGGAATGGAAGGATTCTTGAATGAGAAGCAAAATGTCTTCCAAGAAAAGAAAGAAAAAAGAAAAAGAAAGTCCAGTTGCCTTTTGAAAATTACCTTTGGGTTCCTCACAAATGTTTAGAAATGTGGTGGGAGGTCACTTCTCAAAATCATTTGGTAACATTAGTATTCTTCAACAGACAAAAGCTGATTTACACACCTTTAAAATGAATTATACATTTGAAAAACATACTTTTTAGCAAAGCTATACTTACAGCTTTCCAACTCTAGAGAACAATTCTGAGTGTCAAGTGGGAATCTACTGAAGTCCATGAAACACATGGCAGAAACTGTTATCCTGTCAAAAGCAAAAAATAGACAATCTCAATAATCATAAAATGATTCACAAATATATAAAGCGCTTAAATGTTGAATATTTCATTAAGCGCCTATATTTGTTTTTCAAGTTTTCCTAAAAATACTCTTGTGCCCTCACATTTTAATTCAGAAAAGTGGAATATATCAAATGTAGACTGCCCCTTGTTTCAAGATAGCAAAAACAAAGCTACAAAGGACTTTTCAGGGGAAAATATCCAACAATGTGAAAAAGCTCAATTCTCTTTCCCACTTTATCATATCCCGATCACATCAGGATAAATAGGGTGATATTCTCCAGCACCATGAAACTCTCAGTTGCTGCCATTTTGGAGGCAGGGATTAGACAGTAGTGGTTAACATTACTGTTATCTTTCTGTCATTGGGGGAACCTTTGTTACCAAACTCTCCTCTCTGCTACTTCCTATTTTCTTTTTATTTTCCTAAACTAACAAAACATTGGAAAGAAAGTATGGAAAGGAACCAATTGCCTGTCCATCGGCAGCGTAATCCTCTGAACAAATCTGATATAAGAAGGAATAAGTGGCAAAAGAAAAACTGATTTCAGAAATGCACAGAACCTGGTTGTGGGCTGTAGACAAAAAATATTCTCCCAGTAGGTACACTGCTAGAAAACAACATTTGGACAGCAGCTTAAAATATAGATGACTGCTCCATCATAAACTCCTTTTCCTCCTCCCTCCACGTCATCTGATCCAGAGTAGAGCCTATGCAGCTCACCATAGGCTACATAGTGAATACATTTATCTGAACATAAGACTGCCTTTGTTAAGGGGATTGGGAAGAGTCCAGGGGCCATACAGTACTCTGCATGCTTTTCCAACCTTCTTTCTTTCATTCATTTTTTTCCTTTTGGTTTATGACCAGAATTTTTTTCTTTACCTTGAGCTTTTTAACTGAACTTTCTAATGCAACCTTACACTGGGAGAGTTTTTAGATCAATAGCTGGGCTGATCTATGGAACATACAAGGTCATCAACCGACCCAGAGGCCCATCTTTTGTCTGAAACTCATCCCAAGGATTCTTTTCTCAGAGCACAGGAAAATTATAATAACATTATGTTGACAAGTTGTTGTGTAATCAGCAGAAGCAAAGTTTGTATATTCTTAGGGAATTGGCAAAACATACATTATTATATTTTAATTGTTTTACACCAGACCAACGCAATATGTTACTATAATCCCCATTTGGCAGTGTGGATAAATTAAGATGCAGAGAATCTGGCTTGTTTAATACATTAATACTTTTGATGGCTAGACAGAGGCAAGTTTAGACAGACATGGAAGAAACATTGCTGTGAAAGTGGTCTGTGGAGCTGAAAGTCACACAACACTGATGTAATTCAGGGATAGTTGCATAGGCTCTATAAGTTATACAAATAAACTAGCTTTCCTTAAACATACATATTCCAAACATGTTGTAGAATTGTACCATTCCTAAGAATTATGGGGAGGAATATTCCCATACATCTAGAAGGTACCAACTGTGGGAGGACTAATGTATCCCACTCCCCATAAGAATTCTCCCATGTTGTATGTGTTCTCCTGATTGAAAGGCAAGAGATCTGTGCTTACCGTAAACTGAAGAGCACATTGCCATCTGGATAGATACGTAACATAATATTCTCCATGGTTGTGTCATGGATAAAAGATCTTTTAGAATGAACAAAAAATGTGTCAGGTACCCAAATCTTTTTTATTAATCTTCCATCAAAGGTCATGCTTCTGTTTCTGGTACTAGGAAATGAGAGTCTTTCATCCTTCCAGTAATGCCTGAGATACAAAGTCATTGTGAAATCCTATAAAGAAAAGAGAGGAAAAATACCAGATATGCATTCATCCATTTACTAATATAATCTGTAAAAGTTATCATGGCTAACATTACTTTTTAGTAGTTAAACTATTAATATAAATTAGTAGTTCGACTATTGGCATTAAAAGCCAAAAACATACTTTGGACTCTGAACAAACATGGTTTCAAAAAAAGGTGGAACTGCTTTAAGGAGCTGCAGAGAGATGCTTCGTTCAATATACCTTGTAACATCTTTCCCTCCCTTTGAATTCAAATGATTGTAAAGCCATTTTAAGTAAGCTCCCTAGGTTATTTATTTATTTATTTTTAATTACGACTGAGGGCAGAAGAAGAACAGGACGACAAAGAATGAGGTGGCTGGATGGAGTCACTGAAGCAGTCGGCGTGAGCTTAAATGGACTCCAGGGAGGATGGTAGAGGACAGGAAGGCCTGGAGGAACATTGTCCATGGGGTCGCATTGGGTCAGACATGACTTTGCAACTAACAACAACAGCAAACTAATTTATTCACAGAATAAATCTCGGTGGCGCAGTGGTTAGGGTGCTGTGCTGCAGGCCACTTCTGCTGGTAATCGGCTGCCTGCAATTTGGCAGTTCAAATTCCACCAGGCTCAAGGTTGACTCAGCCTTCCATCCTCCCAAGGTGGATAAAATGAGGACCCAGATTGTTGGGGGCAATATGCTGACTCTGTAAACTGCTTTGAGAGGGATATAAAGCACTATAAAGTGGTATATAAGTCTAAGTGCTATTGCTATTGCTATGATGGAATATTGTTTCATATAACATAACCAATATTTCCACAGTATAGATTGCATATGTTCAATGGTAAGTTTATTATTCAATATTTCAATAGATTTAAAATTACAATACATTTAGGAAAAATTGGTTTCTCTATGCTGAACACCTATAAATCTTTTCTTTAAAAAATTGGAGGGTTGAGATAATTTTTATAATGGATGCTCAAAATGTTAATATATCAGAGTTAAACTATAATAGCTTCCTTTTGGATTCAAACATTCATCTGAATTTGCCTATTAATATTCACAGATTCTTGTAGACCTTTATGTTCATGGATAGCTAGAGGGATAAGTGTGATGAAACAAACTCTATAACTGTAATTGCACCAGATAATACAAGTACATAAGTGCAAGATTTACATCATGACATCACAATGCAAACATCATAATTTTGACATTATCTTCATATGATGTATTTGCCTATGCTGGCATATTTTGAAAACACATATCAAAAATTTGAGATTAATGGAAGAATACATGTAATCCTCAAATTCTGACCTCAAAGGAGCCCCAAATTTCCAAGGCAGTTAAGTGAGTTATGCCCCATTTTATGACCTTTTTGCCACAGTTGTTAAACAAATCACTGCAGTTGTAAAATGAATCATGCAGTTGCTATGGGAATCTGGCTTCTCCCATTGACTTTGCTTACCAAATCATCTTGGAAGGTTACAGATCTTGGTCACAAGTCTATGGGATAGTGCAACTGACATAAATCCATGCCAGTTGCCAAGTCCCCATATTCTGATCACATTACTGTGGGGATGCTGCAATAATTGTAAGTGTGAAAACGGGTCATAGGTCACTTTTTTTCAGTGCAATTGTAACTTGTACCAGCTATTTCTCCATAATCTTCAAGTTTTTCTAATAATATCGGACCTGTTTGTTCAGGATTTTCTATAAAAAACCCTAAATCATCAGCGTTTGCTTGTAATTTAAAATTTTCTTTTTTAATTTCCAATCCTTTAATCTGTGTTTCTTGTCTGATTATTCTTGTTAAGACCTCCAATGTATATATGAATAATAGTGGAGAAAGGGGGCAACCTTGTCTTGTACTTTTTTGTATATAAAGTGTACTTGACAATTCTCCATTTATTATTATTTTTGCTTCCTGTTGCGTATATATTACCATAATTATCTTTAAAAAAAATTCACCAATATTCATGTATTTTAGCTGCTGTATTAAAAAAGACCAGTTTATGTTGTCAAAGGCTTTCTGGGCATCTAGGAATAAAAAGGCTGCCTGTCGATCATTATATTCTTCATAAAATTCAAGAGCATCTAATACTATTCTCACATTAAATTTTGTTTGTCTGTTTGAGAGAAAGCTGTTTTGGTCGCTATGTATAAATTCATTTAGATATTTTTTTAAATCTTTCAGCTATGATCGTCGTGAATATTTTATAATCTGTATTTAAAAGAGATATCGGCCTATAATTTTGGATTCTTGTCTGGGGCATTACAGGTTTTAAATGTCATAAAAAATCAATATTAGAAAGCTGAAAGGACATTCTCTGCAAGTTACACAATGATGTGAATAAGTCATCTCTCTTTTCATTTGATAGGACTATTTAGAACTTCTGTCTGCCTACTCTTAATTTGTACACTTAATTTCCCTTTTGCATTATTGTCATGAATATAGTGAAAAATTAATTATAGGCTATTATTATATGAATAAATAGGTCTTCATTATGCTTATGACATAAAAATGTTTGCTTTATAAAGTCTTTTTCAGTTTCTCAGATAAAGATACAGTTTGAGAGGAAACAGAATAATTAATTGTATAAAACAGTGATCCCCAACCTTTTCGACGCCGCGGCCCGGTTCCGGCATCAGCTGGGCGCCGCAGCCCAGTACCGGCGTCAACTGGACGCCGCCATCTTTTTTTGACGAAAAAGTGCTTCCGGTGACATCACCGGAAGCACTTTTTCGTCAAAAAAGATGGCGGTGCCCAGCAACCAGCGGCCCGGTAAGGCTTGTTCCGCGGCCCGGTACCGGTCCGCGGACCAGCGGTTGGGGACCCCTGGTATAAAACATGGTCACTTATTCAGTGAATTATATACAATTATTTGAAAATTCCTCACTGCCCAATTTTTTCCCCTTATTCTCTATCATCAAATTGCTAATTATATCACCTGCATTTTTTGAATTACATTTTCAGCAACTGAAGAAAAACTTACCATGTCAACTTCTGAAATTTTGTCAATGCTTTCTACTTGCACATCAATGCCAACTGGGATTGGTGATCCTTTAACATACAGAGAACAAACATCAGCAATAAAAGAGTCTGTGAACCTTTTAAGTCTTTTGCTTCATCAGAATTTAACCACAGCATAAATACGGACTTCACTATTGCTTTGAAGTTCTTTTAGAAGCAATTGTGTGAACACTTTTTTTCCAAACAGAAGAGAGCCTTCTGATCACATACAGCAGTTGGCAACAACCTAAGATCCATGGGAACTATCAGAGATACTGGATATAACCTGTATACACATTTGGTCACTTGTTTTTGCTTACTTCTTCAAAAGTTGGTGATCACAGGGCACCCGCTAGTTGGTATTTCCTTAAATACCCTCATGTAAAGCTATGAATTATTGGGAATTTAAAATGTTGGATGCTTCATCTCAAAATATAGTAGGTCTACAAGGGCAAGCAGATATTAGAAAAGCCAGCAGGCCTGGAAATATAATGTGCTACAAGTAGTCCTCAATGTACAACCATTCATTTAGTGACCATTTGAAATTCCAACAGCACTGAAAAAAATGACCTATGTCCATTTTTCGTACTTGTGACCATTGCAGCATTCTCATGGTTATACGATCAAAATTTGGATGCTTGGCAACTGGTTCATATTTACAACAACTGTAGGGTTCTGGGATCACCTTTTCTGACCTTCTGATAAGCAAAGTCAGTGCGAAAATCAGATTCACTTAACAACCATGTTAACAATGGCAGGGATTTGCTTAACAACCATGACAAACAGGTTGCAAAATGGGGCAAATCTCACTTAACAATTGTCTTGCTTACCAAAGGAAATTTTGTGCCCAGTTGTGGTCATAAGTTGAGGACTACCAATATTCCCCCTTCATTTTGCTACCATTAACAGGGGGGGAAATGCTATAGCACTGACTGTGCATTACCGGTCAGCTTTTAGACTGGACAATTAAGAAAAGAGAATGTTATATTGTGGCTTTTCTCATAATGCATTCTTAATGCTTCCGGGATACAAAAATAATTCCATGGAAATTATGTGGTGCTTACACCGGGATGTGCCACAAATTTTGGGATAGGCATTGTAGCACTATATTGTAAGTCTATAGAAGGCCAATGTATTTCATAACTGACCTTAAGAATTCATCACTTGGAGCTCAAATATATACTGTACTTAATGTGTCTTTTTCATTCAGCTTGTGAAAACTGGGAAAATATTAAGAAGTAGTTTAAGGCTTCTCATTCCCTTGCATAAAAAAATTCTTACATCAGATCTCAGGATAAATTCTCTCTTTTCTTGTGACTAGCTCCTGATCTGTGGACCTGCAGTGGGCCTCAGCATGCCAGAAACCGGGCCACGCAAACATGTGAAGCCCTGCATCCGTGGATGCAGGAAGCACATGAAACCACGCTCCCTCTGGTCCATGGAAAAAACTCAGCAGAAGTGGCCCCTGGTACCCAAAAGGTTGGGAGCTGCTGGTCAAGATGAATAAAAGTGTATGCATAAAAGCAATTTTGTTAGAAAAAATGGACTCGCTTTAAAAGTTCCCCATTAAAATACTGTATAAATATTATAAATAATGTTTGAGGCTTCCAAATAAACAGGCAGCTTTCCCCCTGCTTTTTATATTTAAAGCCTCTTAATAAAATTTAGTATGTTGTTATATAACTTTTCATATTAGGTCATATGCAAATTGTAATTTTTCTTTAATCACAACCATTTTTGGGACTGTGGAGTTGGATGACAATTATTGGTTAACACAATATATTTCAGTAACTGGGGCATGCTACTACATAAATATGCATGCATTTAGCATTGATGCAACCTTCATTCTGCTGATTTTAAAGTAAATCATATAATTACTGTGTTACATTTGTACAACTGTAAAACTAGTTTGTCTTATTAGCTCAACTAACATAATATAATGACTGGAGTGTTTAAGTCTAGAATATATATTTCTCCCTTCTTGGTGCAGCACTAATTTCTTCTAGATGATGGGATGGGATGTTGCAAACTTCTGTACATAATGCTCATCCAAAGCATTTGAATGACTTAAAACTAAGCAAACAGGTTGTCACCATCCACTTTCTGGAAAACCCATCACAAATGAAGAAGGTGACCTATCTGAAGTTTGACAAACCCCACATGGTACTTTGGTGGATTTAACTAATGATGGAAGGCAAGAGGACATTGACACTAACCCTGATATACTTGAGCAGAGGGTTGGACTATAAGACCTCCAAGGTCCCTTCCAACTCTCTTAAGTGTTCTTGAAATAGCATTTTTATTCAATTGCAATCATTCTGTATAGAATTAGTGCATAGAATAGAGAGCAGATTCCTGAATAGCCATTTTCCAACTAAGTCACTAGAGATTCATTTAGGTGCATTAAAAGATAACAAGTCATTATTAAAAACATTTCTCTAACATTTTTTTAAAAAATGTTTAGGCTCACTGTAGTTGAGATGTACAACCAGTTATGAATCTACTGAAGAAAATAGACCACCAAGGAAGAGCATAGTATACCTTTAACTGTAAGTTGCCTTAGTTTGTACAACTCAGGCTTGTCTATAATGTTAACATAAGGGTTACCTTAGCTAGAAATGTTAAGAGTATGTTAAAGATTGTCACGTAATGGCTGTAGTGGTGGATGTGGTCAGTCACAAAGCAGCTATTTAGCAGACAGCAAACTGGGAACATTTTTACTCTCTACAAAAAACAATGTTTTAATATTTGATCTATATACCACCCAGAACCTCTCTGTGAGGGAGGTGGCTGTTTCAAAATTTGATAAATAAATAAATAACCCCAAATAAATTGAAAATAATAATTGAAAAAATCAGGAGAAATAATGAATAGAATAGAATAGAATAGAATAGAATAGAATAGAATAGAATAGA